TATATATATATATTTAAAGGAAATTTACTTTTCATTGGTTAAAAAAGCATTTAAGCACTAGAGAAATAGCAAATTTTGCAAAAATGAACAATGAATGTCTGTTAAATTTAGCTGAAGCAGCTGRAACTTAAAGAAGTGAAATGTCAACTAAAAGTATTACAATGTCAAATTGTAGCTAAATGTACCAAATGGCTAGTTAAAAATTACAAGTTGCAAAAACTTTACTAAAACCATCAATAGGTTTGCTAGTAGCTAAAAGTAGCAAAATGATAACTAAAGCTAAAAGTTGAAGAATAGTAGCTAAAAGTAGCAAATGTCTAGTTAAAGGTTTTACTGTATTTATTCAAGTATAATACTAGAAATTTAACCCTAAAAATTATCCATAAAATGGGGGTAGTATTACATGTACATGGGTACATGGGTTATTGATGAATAGTTTTTTYTATACGTTTTAATCCCAAAAAATGATGATCGTATTATACATGAATATACTATACGGTAAGTTGTAAACTTTACTAAAACTATGAATAGCTTAAAATAAAAAATTTGTAAGTAAAGCTAAAACTAGCAAAATGGTAGAAAAAAACTTAAAAGTAGCAACATTGTAAGTAAAAGCTAAACGTAGAAGAAAAGTTGCTAAAAGCTAAAATTAGTTAAGAGCTAATTAAAAGTTATAGGTTGCAAAAACTTTACTAAAACTATCAGTAAGGTTGCTAGTAGCTAAACACAACTAAATGCTATGTAAACGATAAAAGTTGCAAAACTGTAACTAAAAGCCAAAAGTAAAAGAATGATAGCTAAAAGTTAAATTAGCTAATGGGTTGCTAAAAGCTATAAGTAGCAAAAACATTAGTAAAAATAGCTAATTACTTAATTTCCCTCTGGGATCAATAAAGTATTTTTGAATTGAATTGAAAATTAATAAATAAAAGCTAAACGTATCAAAATAGTAACTAAAAGCTAAAAGTAGCAAAAGGCTAGTTAAAAGTAGCTGAATGGTAGCTAAAATCTAAATGTAGTATAAGAAGACAGAGAAAAGAAATGTAAAATATTTGTACATAAAGTTAAATATCTTGAAACATAAACAAGTTACAAAAATCAAAAGTCAGAGCAGCCCTCTCCTGAATGAGCTTTAACATACGAATGACTAAAGTATGCAGACGTAGTTACTTGGCAACTAAAATAAAAGTGTAGGAAATAAAAACAGGAAAACCACCGTGTGAATGTTAATGAGATATTTACATTTTCGATCATTAAAGGACACTTTATGCTTTGACCTTCCAGGGTATTGGCAACACGTCTCAGGGCGCAGCCAACTGCATCATGTTTGTYCTGTTCACTCAGCCGATCCGCACACGCCTCTGCTCCGCGCTCTGTTGCTGCTGCTCTAAATGTCGAGCCGAGGAGCAGCACGGCTCCTCACAGGGGCCCGYGCCTCCGCTGGACTCCCCCAACCAGAGAGAAGAGGACAGCAGCAGTCGGGTCCAGACTGACAGATGAAGCCTCGCTCTGCGACCAGTAAAGAGACTGATAGGCTGACGTGAGGGAAGCCCAGTTAAAACCAGAGCCTTGCAGGAAGGTTGTGGGTGTTACCTGTCTGTTGTCGGTGTGTTGGGAAAATGCTGCCCGACTGTAAACCAACATATAACAGAGCACTTAAAGCAAAAGTTCAGATCTYTTGAAGTAATATTTTACMTGTTGTAGAYGACTCTGCGGGGCCAGGAGCAAAAGGGATTGCTGCTTTATAAACTTTCACTTTTACTCATCAATCTGGTCAAAATTTAACTCCATTTGTCCAAACTGCAGTCCTTTAAAGAGCTATCTGCAACAGGTAAGATGTTAGCTATTTATTACCTTTCCACCATGTTCAAAAGATCTRAACAACTCTGTGAATTACTGTTCTTATGTTTGAACATGTTACACTGTATGAAAGAGTTTACAGTAGAGTTCAAAATGTACTGTACTTAGATTATCACTGTGAATCATTGGGTTTTCCTGTTATGCTATTTATCTCCTGTCTGARTGTACTCAGACCAGTAAAAACAGACTTTAAATCTATACTGTGAGTACGTACACTTTGTGTCACTGAACGATATGATTTAAAACATTTTCAACACGTAAAGTCTTTCATGTCTTGTCTGATTACTACAACAGGCTTGTTCTTAGAAAACAGCAGAAAAGGTCATGAATTTTAAGTACCATAATTCAGAAAATAACCTCAAATGTGTTTTTCCAGTTTAACTTCAGTACTGTTCATCCATTTTCTTTTAAATAAAACATGTCTTCATTGTAGAAAAGCGGATTCCAAAAGAAATACATTGGGATGCAATGTAAAATGTAAATAAAACCTTCTTATTTATGTGCTGTTTAATTGGACATAATACAAACCATACTATCATGTGTTTTATTATAGTTATTAATTGTTTGTAAAGGAACACTGAGTTTTAAACGGATCATATGATGCTGAGGAAGCAGATGTAAGTCTAAAACGGGCSATGTGCACTCCTGCAAGGAGTTTAATGTTTGTGTTCAAACCCTGGCGACTTCTGCTCAAACTGATAGTTGCAACATATTTTAGGCAGAAGTTGCGGAAGGCCATGAGTGYGATGCATCATCATCATCGTCACCTTCATCGCTGCTGTCATTGTGGTCAGGAGAATGATTTATCATCACATGGCACACTTCCTTCTTTACAACCTGAGCTATAACATCCCCCCCACTGTTTGCTCCACTTCACAAACTCCAGTGGATGACCTCCATGAACCACACCGACAGGAAGGTTTTAGTAACGAGGCTCAGAGTACGGTTCACCCTCCCAGTCCATTCATTCAGAGGAGGGACAGAACACTGATCTGTGAAAACTGAAGAAATGAATCTAATTTCAGCTGATGATATGTAAAACTGTCATCTGCTGTTTTATTTGTTGTTCTTGTGCACACATAGAAGACCCACTCTGTGCATTTCCTGCAGGTATGGATCCATTCTGAGGACTGGCTGACATTGAAGCATCCCAACACTTAAAAGAAGACGTCTCTGCTCTTTCCTCTGCTGGCTCTTTGCCCGTTTAATTCATTATGTCCAAGAGCAGCTCTGAGCTGCCGAGGTGACCACCAGCACAAGCTGCTCATTTGGTTGTGGCATTTTCTGTTGCCACTTCTCAAATTTACCATCCGCTGCAATAAAAAAAAGTCTTATTCAAATATTAAATTGTCATAGAATTGTCACCAAGAACAGAAAAAAAAAACATCAAGGAAACATTGAGCACAGACTGATTTTTAGTTTGTTTGGTGTTTGAATATTTACCCATTCAGCTCCTAAAGTCTCACCGAAACYCAACATTTTGTTCCTCTTTGAATCCAAGCAGAACATCAGCTCCACCACCTGTTCACTGTTATCATTACAACCAGAACCACTGCTGCACATACTGTTTGATGTAGAATTCAGAGAGAGAGAGAAAGAAGTAGAAAAAGATCAAGTATTATTTCTTAACAATGGGCTAAAATCAACGACAAAGAGCAATCTGAAACAAAGAGAAGAGACAAACGCTACAGGTTTCTGCAAGGCTCCATGTTAACTCTGTGTTGTGTGGTTGTTAGCAAAATATCTCATAAACCACAGGACAAGTTACAAAGTAATCATTAAATGAACACCAGCAACTTCCACACATTTASAATAAACCAATCCAAGATGGCTGCCACAACAAAGAGGCACTAGCAAACAAAAATGGTCACAACTCAGTTAGCAGTGTGGTCGTAGCTGAAACTAATCCTGAACACACTCTGAGCACGAGCTGACCCACATGGGAGCTGTTTTTTTTTTTTTTTTTTTACCACTAACAGTAAAAGTCAACTTTGCTTGTCTGTTAGCAAAATATCTCATGAACCACTGAATAGATTTTGATTAAACTTTCAGGAAATATTCATTGATCTGCAACTGATTAACCTTTGCAAGATCTTTGCATAAAACCTTAGTATGAGCTGTTGGAGTCAATCCAGTGCATTTGTTAGCAAAATATCACTTTAACCAGTGGATGGATTTCAATGAAATTACCAGAAAGTAATCATTGGCTGTATGTTTACAACTGATTAATTTTAGAGTCAATCCAATTCAAGACAGCTGTCATAATTAATGAACACTTGTCAACACAGTCAGTTTAATAGATAATGAGCTAAGATTGGATGTTGTGGCTGAGAGTAGGGCTGCCACAAACGATTGTTTTAATAATCGATTAATCACCGATTATTTTTTCGATTAGTTGACTAATCGGATCATTCGTTAATTGAATATAAAACATACAGCTTATCACGTCAGAATGCAGCTGCTATTATATAACCATGGTTTGATTTTAGCCATATGCTAGCTAAAAATAATTGCTGTGGAAGACAAGTTCTGCTCTGCAGATATTACACAGGTTTCTCTTTCATTTCCTTAAAATGATCCCACACTTTTGAGCTCCTATGCCGGGTAGCCATGATACCAGAGCCTGTCTGTATAATGTCTTGTGACGTCCACGGCCTACCCCAGTTACCACTACTGTGCATGTGTGTCAAGGACAGAAAGGCAGATGTGGCAGTGGAAGGTGTCAAAGCAGTTTGGAGAGAAAAACAAAGTAAAGAACGAGAAAAACAAAGTAAAGAACAAAAAAAATGATTAATCGATTAGTAAATTAGTCAGCGATTATTTTAATAATTGATTAGTCGTCGATTAATCGATTAATCATGGCAGCCCTAGCTGAGAGTAATCTTCAACATATCTCTAAGAAATGTATGTATCTATGTATAAGGCCATGCATGTTATTCTTTTTGAGGTCTACCCTGCATGAAATAACTGTTTCATCTTTTTATTGTCAGGACAAGTTTAGTTTAGAGGGGTGGCACAACACTAACACAACATATCAGGAAGCATTTAAAAGCCACAATAAACACATATAAAGTCTATTACATAAAAAATTTAACTTCCGCCTAAAACAGTATCAGCAGTATTACAGTAATAATCCCAAACCGAGCAGTAAACTGCCGCCGTGCTCTCTGACCTCGTGTCCAAAGGGCAGACCAGATCCAGCGCTGCAGTAAGTGCAGACAGAGACGAGCCCAAACGCAGCCATGGAGGAGAGTGAGGCATGGGGGAAGCCTGTGGAGAGGACAGGGGTGAGTTAAATATCCACTGTTGTTTCATTTATCACAGTATTTTTTTCTTTTTACTTGGGTAAAAATATGTTGTAGTGCTTGAGTACAACTTTTGGGTACACTATCCACCTCTGATTATGGATATGGTATTTAGTAATAGAAAGAAAACTATTGATRTTCCATTTAGAGTCGATGGGGTTGAGATTTGTAAAGTCAGTGARGTGAAATTTTTGGGTGTGATGATAGATGAAGGGCTGACTTGGAGACCTCATATGAATTATTTAAGAAAAAASATGGATAAATCTATTGTTGTTCTGYATAAAGTATTTAATGATAAAGCATTGTATATGTTGTATAATGCGAAAATAGGTCCACACTTGCTTTATTGTATTGAGGTCTGGGGGAAAGCGTGTCGGACAATTACAAATCCTGTTATTTTAGTACATAAAAGAGCTGTGAGAATTATTACTGGAAAACATTGTTGTCACCCATCAAATTCATTATTTTGTAAATTGAAAATATTGAAGTTCTTCTATTTGGTTGATTATAATATTCTACTGGTTATGTATAAGGCCCACAAAAACGCATTACCTTTAAACATCCAAGTAAATTTTGTTAAGAGAATGAGTTGTTATAACCTTAAAGAGACAGAGATATTTGTAAAAACCCAAATTCAGAACTAGTTTGAAGGAACGGYGTACTTTAATTCAAGGAATAAAACTATGGAACAATTTGGGGAGTGGTAAAAAAAATTCAGGATCATTATGTACATTTAAGAAAATGATGAAAGCTGGATTGCTAAAGAAATACGAAACAGGCCGTATCTATATAAATTGTTGTTCTAGAGGGATTAGATATTCTTGTCTTTTGTTTTGTTAATAACAGATTTTTTTGTTATATGAACTTATTCTAGAAAAAAGGGGCAGATGTAAGATTTTTTTCTTCTCTGCTGCCTTTCATTTCATTTTAATTGTGATTTTGATATACATATATTTTTTCTCTCATTTTTCTTTTTATATTTTTCTTTTTATTGTACCTTGTATATAAAATTATTTGTTTTGTTTTAATGAAATGAATAAAGAATTGAAACTGAAACTAACAGAAATTATTCGTTTATTCAAAAATTAGATCCAATCTGACATCTTCTGTTTCAAATAACTATCTTCATGCCATTATACTCTCAACCATGTCGTACTGTTTACCTGTTTGGTCTCTTACAACAAATGAAATCTTAGAACCCATAGTTAGGCTCTACAACAGGGCCTACAAAATTCATAAAAAACTTCCTGGTTGGACTCATTACTGTACAGTTCTTTCATTGYCTGATGCCTTGACTTTTCAGAATTATGTTTTGTATAGTGGTATTAATTTATATTTTCAGATCTTCCAAGGTGCCAATTATGGAACTCTCTGTGCATTGYTGCCCAAATCAAATTCTGGAAGTGGTCATTCAACTAGATCTGTTACAAAAGGACAACTGATATTACCAACATTTAAAAACTGTTACAGCCAGAGGTTTCTTCTATGTTTATACTAAAGCATGGAATGACATTCCTCAAAACATAAAGTCCATTTCAAAACTACAGCCCTTTAAGAAGAATCTTGTCTGCCATCTGCTGGACACCTTTTGTTGTGCTCATATTTAGATGTCCTATTTTGCAAATGTTGCCTTCCTGAAATTTGGTATGCTTGTTTGTCTTTGTGTCTATGGTGTATAATGATGTGATTGTGATGCTGTAWTTCTGAGTGTTTTATGTGCTGCAGAACAGGAACCTGCTGTAAAACAGCAATTATGCTGAGTCAGGCTTGGTTTTTAGTAATCTTTTCCTGTTAAATCAATAAATCAAATCAAATAAAATTGGATGATATTAACTGGTTTAATTGATCGGTGTCCCCCTGCAGAGACTAACTGCGGTTCTTGCCCTGGCTACTCTCATATCTGCATTTGGTTCATCTTTCCAGTATGGATATAATGTGGCTGCAGTCAACTCTCCAGCACCAGTGAGCACAAACACATTCTGAGTTTTTTTGTTTAGTTTTCCTTTTTTTTTACGTTTCTCTCATCAGTGTTTTGTTGTCTTCAGTTCATGCAGCAGTTTTATAACAACACATATCTGGAGCGTTACAATGAACCAATGGAGGAAAACCTGCTGACTTTGCTTTGGTCTCTGTCCGTGTCCATGTACCCTCTTGGAGGCTTCTTTGGTTCTCTGATGGTGGCTCCTCTGGTTAACAAGCTGGGGAGGTAAAACTTGGTGTCTGTCTCCATTAGAAAATGGATCAAATTCATGGAGTCACCCCCTTTCAAGATGGCCTGCACAATTAAGCATCCTTATTAAACACTAAAATACTTATGACCCAGTGACTTTTCCAGACATTGGGCTGAAATTTGGTGTGGTAGTAGCTAAGAGTCAGATTCAACACACTCCAAGCAACACTGAAGTGATTTGTGCACAATGTTATTTTCAACATTTGTCCAAAATGGTTAAAAACCTATCATGATTGCCTTGAATCCTTTAAATAATTTAATTTAATCCTTTTTTAACAGGAAGGGCACGCTCCTTTTTAACAACATCTTCTCCATTGTCCCTGCTGTAATGATGGGAGTCAGYGAGACTGCTGAGTCCTACGAGATCATCATCGTGGCCCGGTTCATCGTGGGCATATGTGCAGGTTGGATACWTTTGCTTTHGACATTCCTTTTTTGAGGGTCAGACGTGATGAGTAAAGATGTTGGCGTTCGTTCGCAGGTCTATCCTCCAACGTAGTGCCGATGTATCTGGGCGAACTCTCTCCCAAAAACTTGAGGGGAGCCATTGGCATCGTGCCACAGCTCTTCATCACCATTGGCATCCTGGCTGCTCAGGTGTTGGGCATCAGAAGCATCCTGGGCAACAGCACTGGTACTGACTGTGGAAATGTTTGTTTGTCTGCTCAGATTGTTTGGCTTTTTTATGTGTTTACGTCTCTGTCTGTCTAGGTTGGACCCTCATGCTGGGTTTGACGGGCATCCCGGCAGTGATAGAGCTCCTGCTGCTGCCCTTCTTCCCAGAGAGCCCCAGGTACCTGCTCATCCAGAAGGGAGATGAGACGAACTCAAAGAAAGGTAAGCACCAGCAGAGAGTTCTGCACGTGGCTGCAGAGAATCTGGTTTAAAGGGGTGTTCTGTGTAATTTGTCGYGCTCAGCGTTGCAGCGTCTGCGTGGCTGGGATGATGTGGATGCAGAGATGATGGAGATGCGTCTGGAGGACCARTCGGAGCGGGCCGAGGGACACCTGACCGTGCTCTCCCTGCTGTCCCAGCGCTCCCTCCGATGGCAGCTGATCTCTGTGGTCATAATGAACATGGGTCAGCAGCTGTCAGGGGTCAACGCGGTGAGACACACTGTCCTCACTTCTCAGAACATAAATAAAAAACAATCCCATTTGAATGAAGGGTTGTAAAAACAATCCCTCTTTAAGCTTCCTCYTTACTGCAACTCCGTTTTTCTACCCATGATGCCTTTTTCTTTCAGATCTATTATTATGCAGACAGCATTTACGCCTCAGCAGGAGTCCGTCAGAATGACATCCAGTATGTGACGGTGGGGACAGGAGCAGTGAACGTCTTCATGACCGTAGCTGCTGTAGGTACCCCAAACCCTAATCATGGCAGTTCAGTACTTTGTGTAAAACAATCATACATCATGTCTGTCATCTGCAACCTGGAAGGTCTAAATAAGAAACATACAGGAGCAGTATATGTACAATTTCAAACAATCAAAAATAACCGTAAACATTTTAACAAATACAGAAATAAGATAAGCTAAAAATAAACAAAATAAAATAACTATGCTAAAGCAAAAACACAGAAAAAAAATGAGATTTCAAAATAAAATAAAAGCCTTTTTATGAAAGTAGGGATGGAATTTAATTTTGTGTTTTCTTCTTTCTCACCATTTTTGGGGATTTTTTTTATATAATTCAAAATCATAAACAAATGCTGTGAATAATTCAAGCATTATGTAAATATTATTATGTTAAAAATATTGTGGCATAATTGCATCAAAGTTCTACTTGATCAAGTTACGGAACTGATTATAAAGTGTGTTTTTGTCYGAGAAATGACTTGTAATGCATATATTTCCCTCTGAACCTCATTTTAAATAATACATGGATGAATTTCCAAATGTGATTTATCTCCGTCAGAGTATTTCCTTGTCTCACGCCGTCATTAAACTGAAAGAATTAAACGCCTTCATACTTAGAGATTGAATATTAAGAGAAAAGTTTTTCTGAAGTTTTACTACAAAAACTTCAGTGGTGCCCCCTTAAGGTGAAAAGTAAACATTTCTTACAGAGTTTGTTTAATTTTAGTGTTTAAAACCCCTACACTTCTCATTCTGATAAGTACCATCAAATATTATATCAGGTTTTGACACAGGCTGAGAAACCAACTACAAAAAGCTATCTAGAACCCATTTTTTATTACATGAAGAACAACACCTGTTCTGTGGTTTGCATTGTTTCAGAGGAGCTGAAATGTGCAGTCTGTTGTCTGATCAGGCCAGATGGAGTCTTTGTTTCTCACCAGGAGATTTTTTTTTTGTCCCAGGTTTTCATCGTGGAGTCCTCGGGACGGCGGCTGCTCCTTCTTCTGGGATTTGGGATCTGCTGTGGTGCCTGTGTTCTCCTCACTATTGCCTTGACCTTCCAGGTACTGAATACAGTATTAGCTGCAGTGACCACAACACCCAACGTCTTACACTGGTGCCCTCTTGTGGAGAATGGTGGCCATAGTATAAAAATAAATGGTTTAGTTTACAATCAAATTAGCTGCTAAAAAAGTATATTTTTTATTTTCACACTATTTGAAACAATTCCTGTAATAATTTCAAATTTCAGCTGGTTGATTTTGCTGCATCTTAACTATAATGCAGTTATATTTGTGATGCAGATAGGCTTGCGAGAGATGTTTGATTGTGTATTCTACTTTGGTATGAGCATCAGGGTGTTAAAAATAGCTCACATGTACAAAATGTTGCAAAACAGTCTCAAAAAGCAACTTCTTTCTATGTTTTTGTGGGGTTTTGAAAGCAAAGTGTCCAATATCCTCTCAGACAGACAGATATTTAATGTTTGTTCCTCTACTGACAATACCCTGAGTGCTCCTACATTTAAGAAAATGCAATAAAATATCCTAAAAACCAACTCTTCTTTTAAAAACAGGCCCCAGGCTACAAATATGGAAGTTTCTTTTTCTTGGTTTTTCTTGTTTTGTGTTTCTCCTACGTCTGGTATGCAAACAATCCACAAGTATTAAGAGCTGGATAAAGCAGGTCTGAATACCTGAGCAAGTAAAAAAAATAAAAATAAAAATATAAAAGCCTAAAAGCACCTTGGTGACTCCTGCAGAATCGAATTTTGCAAATGAATTGTGGAAATATAAACAAAAAGTTATAAACCTCATAATTCAAAAAGTACACGGTTCAGTGCAAACCTGATGGACTGAATAATAAATCAGCTTTAATTGTTGCCAGCCACAGCAGCAGTGTTAATGTTGCTGCGGTGTACATACTGTGCATCTGCAGTTCCCCACCAGCACGAGAATATAATGACGATCTGGCATCTTTGTTCGCTGAAGTCATGAGAAATCTGAGACTCTGAAACAGAGGAGTGAAAGCATCACTTCCTGTTAGACAGACGTGTGAAACGAGAACTGTTCTCCCCACCTGTCTGACCACCTGAGTCCTCTGTGTTTACACAGGTGTCGTCAGTAGGCACAAGTCATTGGACCAACATGTGTGTTTCTGACATGATTACTGTGCAGTAACTGGTTGTTTCCGTGGACAGGAGAGCGTGACGTGGATGCCCTACGTCAGCATCGCATGTGTCATCGTATACGTCATTGGACACGCCATCGGAGCCAGTGAGTCTGACCCACCTGTGCTTACCGACACAACGCAGTGGCCCATTAGCTGAAGTGCTGTTTGGATAGGACCAGACGTGTAATCACGCTTGTTTGTTTGTTTGTTTGTTTTTCTGTAAATCAGCACTCGCTTGCTTTGAGACGTGAGCGCCGTTGCTSTGGCTCTCACAGAGTGGTGGTTTGCTGCCAGCCTCTCGGGTTGTGGTTAACCTCACCGTGTGCTCTCCAGGTCCCATCCCCAACGTGGTGACCACGGAGATGTTCAGGCAGTCGGCCCGGCCCGCCGCCTTCATGGTCGGAGGCTCCGTCCACTGGCTGTCCAACTTCACCGTCGGCCTTGTTTTCCCCTTCATGGAGGTCAGTTTACATACGCCATAGCCAAATGTTTGTTTCTTTTTAAACTGCAAGCAGCTGCAGATGCTTCTTAAAAGTGTAAACAGAAACCGCCAAGGAGGGACGGCATCAGCAGCAGTGACCTTGGAATAATCATTATTTGTGCCCATCAATCTGTTGGGGGTTAAAGGTCATTCCCAAACTATTTGGAGGTAAAAAGGTTATCCAGAAGTGAAAAACCGCCAATCTTCACAGGCTTTTTTTTACCCCAAGTAAAAACAAAGAACCAAAGAGTTTATTTGTGACTCAGATTTTGGAGATCCTGGGCTTAATCACACACACAGATCTGATCAGGTTGCATCACAAAGCAGTGCAGTGTGGGGCAGCATGATGCATCAGTGGTTTGCACTAATGCCTCACAGCAAATAGGTCCTGGGTTCATTCCCACGTGGAGTTGGCATGTTCTCCTGTGCTTCTCTGGGTACTCCAGTTTCCTCCCACAGACCAAAAAGTTTGCCTTCGGGCCTTCCTTGCAAAATAAATCTGTGATCTCAATGGGATTTGCCTGGGTAAATAA